GATGGAAATGGTGAAAGGAGCCCTTTTTCCAGGGGTGGACACACACACACACACACCCACACACAACAACATACCCCAAAAGAACTCTATGAGTCCCAGAGTCCCACAGTGAGTCCACCTTTCAGAACTCCCGGGGACATCGTGCAAAAAAAGGGGAGCCATATACTCATCTGAGGGGAACATCGCACCCTCCACCCCTCGGTTGAGGGTTTTCTTCTCCTCGTGCCCTTCATCCAACTCCCCATCGCCTGGGTTTTTCCACCGGCCATCAGACCTTGCTCCGTGTACGTCTCGACGTCCGATGACCGGTCGGCGGAGTCGGCGGGTTGGACGTGACGTCGGGACGGTGGGAAGGATTGGAAGCCATGTGGAAGAGGATGGCATGTTGGATGTGGGATCTTGGATGTGGGATGTTGATGGATGTTGATGTTGGATTTCTGTTCGCTTCTGACTTCTGAGGCTTACCAGACCATGGCAGCCTTTACCGGAAGCTTAGCAGATCCCTTGAGGCATTCAGCTTCTTGATGTGCTGAGGCAGTCGTTTTCTTTTGGAACCGACATGTTGATACCCCCCATCTCGTTGGCTCTCACACAGAACTACCAGCTATAGTACATCATGTGTTTGCTCTTCTCCTCAGATATGTTTGATTATTTGATGGTTTCAAAGCCGATATATGCTCAGAACCACGAAGCCTCCAGAACACCGAAGCAATGGCGAACGCAAGGCTCCGGTCATTTTCGTTGGCAGCAAGGCGAACGCTTGCAGGGCTTGAAGCAACACCTGCCCAATTCATGAGGGCCTCAAGGACTCGTCTCCGAAATGACTCGTCCCGGCTCTATTTTCATGTACCACCACCAAGCTTTGGCTCCACGCTGTGTGTGGGTCTTGTGGGTCTCCCCCCCTCACAGGCCAAGGCAGGCCTTAGGAGTCGAAACCCTCACCGGCTTGGACCGTCGCAGGTCTCAACCGACGAAAAAACGGCCTGGGCGACCCGGGCGCCGCGGGGCTTCAGCAGCGTGGCATCGCCGGCCTTTTCCGGTTTGGGGAAGAGCACCTGGCGACGACGGACGGCGTTGCTTCGACGCGCCGCGCGATCGCCGCGTGGCAGTGCCTTTGATCGCCGCGGTGGGGGGAAGTGTTTCGGAGGTGATTTCCGCGAGGGATGAGTGGGGATCGAAGAAGTCCAGTGGGAAGTTTCTCCTGTCTCCAACCAGTACCACATGATTGTATACTCGGCAAATTATTGGACCTACACCCATCTGCAGCTATTCACAAGGGTACCAACACCACGGCCCAAGAAAATCCTGCGGACTGTCTGTCAAGTACCTCTTATATCAAGACAGGCTCTTCCGCACATGCGGCGAGTTTCGCTCCAAAAACGCGGATCTACCACGAGATCCAACAGTCCCTCAGATCCCCACGTTATCGTGCAAGGTCATGCTCTTCCGCAGAACAAGCCCGGCGCCGATCTTGGGGACGAAGACACCACGTACCAACCGCTATGAGACTATGAGACCAAACCCCTAGACTTTCAAGACCATTAAAAGCATGGTTGACCTGGTTTGTGTAATGTAAAATCCTTAGTTGATTCGGGATTCAGCCAAGCCTATTAAATTCATGGTGGGCCTGGAAGCCCAGGGAAGCCTCCACCGGTTTCGACTCTTCCCACCGGTCCTTGGTCGTCTCTTTCGTGGTGCTTCACCACCGGAGACCCGAGACTCTCAACGACTGAAATCGGTGTCCACCATGGGCATGACGTTGTCCCAGTCCGTGGTGATGAGATCCGAGCAAGGCCTCGACGCGGAAGGAACGCCGAGCCACGACGTGGCAGGTGCTGGGCGGTCGAGCCGTCGGGGTGTTGGCGACGCTGAACACGCTGCCATGGTGGAGGAACGACTGGATCCGTTTGACGTGCCGAACGACTGGAGGCTGAACGACTGGAGTCGAAGAACTGGTGGATGCGACGTCGCGTCCAGGGCGCGCATATCTCGGTGTTCTTTTTCGGCCGACCACGGTGTTCTTTTTCGGCCGACCGTGGTCACGGTGTTCGGATGGGACTCTGTTGGTTGTCCTATCTCTTCATTTGTTTAACTAGTAGAACCTCTCTTCATTTGTTGCTTCGACGTTTGCATACGCGGATGAGGCAAACTCCTCTTACTCGGCGTTGACAGGGATTCTTCCGCCAAGTGGCACCGAAAGAACGGAAGGTGGACACATTGCCTCATCAGTTAAGTCAAGAATAGGGTTCCCCCCCTGTTCTTGGCCAACCGAACATGAACAGGAATCGATGACCAGACATGGTCAACCTACTAAGTTTTTGGAGCGCTGGAGCCATGCCCCACTGCGCCGGGTCGCTTGAAGAGCCAACCAGTGACACGCTCGCGGTGCCAGCAGGTGCCACACCTGTGCAGCATGGCTTTGGTGCAGCGCAACGGACGATCATGAGGATCCCCCCAGAAGGGAACGAACGCATGCATACTCGCAGCTTCATATGGAAAACATCCCAGGATCTGTGATTTTGACTCTTATTATACATAATATGATCATTTGAGCATATTCCAAGTGCATACTTGGTGAATCTGTGCCGTGAATCTTGACAGGTGTTGAGACAAAGCCGATACTCTGTTCGAGATCGGACTACAGAGCTGTCGCCCAAATGAAGCGGTTGAGACTTGTTGTTCTTGTAAAACGGTCGACGTGATTGGTGAGGAGAACCTCATTGCTCCTACGGTGCTACCTTCCGTTTCCGTCGTTGAGGGTGAATTGGCCGGATGTTGGTCTCCTTCAAGGATGAAGTTGGTGCGAGACCACCACATACCGCCTGACCCTCATCTAAAAACCGCATCGAAAACCAAGATCACGACCAGGGATCTCTAAGTCTCTAAAAGCTCTGCAATTCGCACATCATTTCTTGAACCAACCAACCCACTCACCCATCCACCAGCGCAAGCCAACATCAGCCAACTGACCACCAGGGTCGCGACCTGAACCTCATCTTCCGCCAGCTTCGCCACACCCAACCCGTTGCAGCCACACCCGGCAACCATCCGTGGGGCCCCCCAACCATCCGTCGATGCAACCGTACTTGATCTCCTCACCGTCCGGCACCGGGTTCGTCCGGGAACCGGCGGTCCACGTGACGAGTTCGGCGTCTCGTTTACGAAGCGCCTTTGGTACACAGGACTTACATCGAATCGTTTGTGTTTGCTGATATCCTTGGGGTGGAGTCCGGGTGGAGCATATAATACCTTCGAAGACATATAGCTCTTAAGTGGGCTTCACAACGAACGACAGATCACATACCGTTTGTCCTTTCAACTCTCAATTGTCCCGTGTCTGACACGTCTGGTCAGCTTCACAACACCCAATCGCTGATGACCGGTGCACAGTTCAAAAGGAAAATTCATCGAAGGATCCACCCGCCCAGACACTACTGTATGCAGAGAGCTGTTGCTGCTACCTAGTAGTTCGCCTTGCGTTGCATTCAAAAACCGGGTGGATCCCTTCCTTTGAGACACGCCTGTCTCTCTCAGTGTCTGCCTACCATCTGTCTACCTCACGTGGCCATCATCGCCTACTCATCAGGACCGGGATGGAAGTTGGCCACCACGGGCTCCCCATGCTCGGGGCCACCACACCAGGTGGGCTCCCAGTTGATGTCGTACTCCAAATAGGCGTTGGTCACCTGAAACATAAGACGATCCAAGCAACGCGACTCGAACGGAGCAACGCGAGGGCTTTAGGGCATCGCGACCGACCCTGGCCTTACTACTAGGAACAAGGACGCTACAAGTACTAGGAGCTCCTTTTTACAAAGGGACATTTGTTCGAAGGAAGGTCTCCAACTTTGTTGGTGAGATCAGAAATTCCTGCTTGGAATCGCTACCAACAGCTGGTTGTTGCAGCCACCTACATCAACGACCCCACCGAACAACGCTTCGTACCGAAGATGGCCGAAGGATCTATCCATCTTCCGACCGTCCAGTTCCAGTGCCAGGTTCTTTTTGACACGAAACCTCCTTCCCCATGACGCTTTCCGGTCATTCTCTCCTTCATGCCCGTCGTTTGCTGAATCTGCGTCTTCCTCTAATTGGAAGAAGAACCAGCTCGGAACCATACTCCGGTTGCTGTCCGTTTCGGTGTCCGTTTCGGTTGCTGTCCAGCGGTGTCCAGCGGTGTCCAGATCGAAATCTCAGACCCACCGATGTCTCGCTCCGTTAAAACGAAGCACCAGAAGTTCCGTGACTTGACTCACTCCAACTGGTCGTCAATCCATCCACCACCAGCATGGAGGCGAGTCATTTTCCACTGCTTTCAAGCACCAAGCAGCATATTGCAGCATAGGCGTGGGGACCTTGATATAGGGCACTGGATGCTCAAAGGCCACCCACCTGGTTTCGTGCGTGGATACGAACTCACCAGACCTGACGAGATATTAAGAGAAGTGCTGCAAACACACGTGATCACACATGTTATACACATACCCTAGTCTTATAAAAAACTTTCATTGGAAAGAGCCTGTTTTCAACTTTGTTTTACAACAAAAGTCAAAGAAAGTTAACAAATGTCAATCCCAAAAGTCAAAGTCAAACAAATCAAATCAGAAAGTTTCAGAAAGTCAAAAAAGTCAATTTGCTCAGATCCGACCTTGTTTTGACTTTTTTTCCGACCTTTTTTGTCAGTTGTTCGAGTCTTTTTTTGGGGGGGGGACTTTTTTTTGGACATTTTTTTCCGACTTTTGTATTTTTAATCTTTTTTCGAGTGGTTGACATGTTTTTTGACTTTTTTCTTTTGACTTTTTCGAGTTGTGTCGACTTAAAGATTTGTTTTTTGACTTTTTTGAGCTGTGGTCTATGGTTGACTTTTTTCTTTGATTTTTTTTGACTTTGACTTTTCCAGTTGACTTTTTTTAAATCAAGGGTTCTGGCCTTACCATAGTCTTCAACGGCCAAGTTTTACTTGAACTTTCTGGGCGGCTATGTTTTGCTTGCTAAAGCATGTACTTACTTCCACCAACGGCTAAGTTATCTTTGGCGTCTTTGGCGGCTCAAGATTCTAGAGTGGATGAGGAAGGCTCTTCTCAAGCGCCAGGGGCCTATTTACAATTTTGGTGCACTGTTCTTGGACCACTTTGTTTTGATGATTCAACTTCCTGAAGCAAATGGGAAGTGCAGACCAGAGAAACTGATGGTGCCATCCCCCAAGTCTTTGAACATCTCAATTGAGGTGCTGACGTTGGAAACCTAAAATTATGGCGCTTGCCTTTTTTCTTGCTTCAATTCAGCCAGCATTTTGGAGGCAAGCAAGCATACTGCAGCATACCGTGAGCAACATTTGCCTATCTTCGGGAACTCAAAGCTGAGTGCCATCCACCCTTTGTTGTCTCCATCGCCCAAAACGGAACACGCCAAAGGATTTGGTTGAGTGCTCGCTTGGCTTCCAAGTGGAGCGGCCAAGTTCTACTCGCTAAAACATCGACTCTTATGGAGGGTTAAGTATCACTCGGCAGAACATGAACTGTCCAAGTAAAACTTCGACTTTGGAAGTGTAGGGCATACATACCAAGGAAAGGTACATATAAATACATGGACACATTTCTTGTGGATGATTGGTTGGTATAGGGGATAACAGTCAATCACTTCATGTGGCCAAACAAGGCAGATCAACCCGGCGGAGTCGTGGATGGACAGGCTGGCTTTCTCTCAAACGGTTTGAGTCTTCTTAAGAACACTCTTTACACCGCTATACACCTTGAAAAAACCGTCCACATCGTCTTCGCTTTCGCTTTCCCGACATGCAGATTGAACGGTGGGATGGTCCTCCGCGTGTTCTTTTTCTGCGTCGTCCAAGGCACATGGTGTAGCGCAAGGGCTTTGAGTAGGCCTGGAAGCAGCGAGAAGAACACTGCCCGAATCCGTGGCTCGGAAGCATCTCATGCGATTCACTCGTGACATGTCCGACGCGATGTCCGCGATGGTCTTGGGGCGAATGGCGACCAAAACCACCGGACAACCCACCCGTTCCGCCGTTCAGCTGGTCCTGCACGACCCATCCTAGGGCACCGTGGGCACCGGATGGGCGGTGGCCGGAGGGCGGGAGGTGTTTTGAAGCACCAGGGATCCTTCTTCAAACAATCCTGCTCATTTCTCGTCTTCAACTTTACCACCCCAACCTAGTGGGTTATAGTGTCTGAGAAGAGGAAGTAGCTGAGGCACCATGATAAGCACACGGAACACTTCCAAAAAGAAAAGAACAACACAGCTGCACCTCTTACAACTGTTCAGTCTATCTGAACTTTCAGTGGCCGATCCTTTCTTCCTGGCGACCCCCCCGAGCGACCCTCGCTCGATCCCGACCGCGACTCTCGCTCGATCCGTCGGGCCTGGTGTGGGCCGATGGGTCCTACCACGGCGACGGTGTCGGTCGTGGAAAGCGACGGTTGGGACGGTGTCGTGGGTGCCTTCCTGTCAGGGTGCCTTGTCTGCTGGAGACCTGTAAGTAAAGCCAGCTGTGGAGATATCCAGCCAGGTGACCCCCGAACGCGAGCAGCCTTTTTTGTTGGTTTTTCTATTTTGTGCATTTTGGGCCCACTGTGGTGTCCAGAATATGCCACACGGTGGTCCACTAAAGTGAACGATGACTGCAGGCCCGGCTGACATCTCACGGAGTGTGCTTAGGATTTTTAACACCCCCAACAGGCTTGGCCCCATTCACTTTAATCTTTGATTTGTGGAATTGACAGAAGGTGCCGAACCCTCAACTCAAGGGCCTCAGTCGGCGCAAAGGGACATGGACAATGGTGGAATTGAAAGGCCAACATCATGTTCAGGAATGCCATGCCGCGAATTGGATTCCTTTTTTGATCCCTCCAGCCATGCCGAACAAAGACATCTCAAAATCATCCGAACTGGTTCAGGGCCAAAACCAAGGTTCATCGTACAAAGATTCACGGCATTCCAAGGTCAGATGGACATTTCGCCCCTCACCCGTCGCCTTCCCCCATGTCCAATGTCCTAATGCCAGGCCATGCCAAGCATAGCGGACGGCTCCCTGGCAATCGTAGGTCGGCTCGCCCGTGGTCTTGTTGATGGACCACAAAGGCCCATGGATATAACCTACCCGGACGACTCGACCGACCGTCAGCGTGCAACACGTTGGTTTGCTGGTGCAACACGTAGAGCCACCGGATTTGGGATATGATTTGGGATGCGGTTCGTGTTGATGAATCTGCGGGATCACGTAGGAGTGCTTAGGCAGACTGTCCCCAAGGCAAGTGGGTGATTCCTCGAAATCAGAACGGTCAACCTAAACCACCAACTCCAAAGTGAATACCCCCAGCATCGAAGGAATGCCATGACGAACATCTTTGGAATTTCCTGGCGGGTGCGCTGCTCAGTTTCTGGCCACAGGCATACGCAGTCGATAGGTGTGAGGGACCGCAGCAATCTGCCAACAAACCAAGACACCTGCATACAAAACCCGTGGGTTACTCTCAATGTTTAAACCACCGGTGTTGCTCCAATGATCCAGCCAAAACCTCAATCCGGGTGTTCAAAAGGCGGGACCGTCGAGCGGACATGCGTCTCCAGTCTTCTCACCTTCTCACATCCTGCGATCACTGATTCCCCCGATGGAGCGTTTCTACCACAACAAAGGAGTATGGGCCGGTGAAAACGGCATGGTCTCCGATTATGGAGGGCCATGAAATTTGGGAGGACCAACATTTGGGTGGTTTTCCAGGAACGCGACGAACGGGGCGACCCTGGCCTTACTACTATAGTAACAAGAAACTACTAGGATACATTACTCAACATCTTTTTTTATTGGTCGACTCACCGAGATTTGAAGTCGACACCTTCGCCCATCAGACTCGGCCTGGTGGAAGGGGCAAGGTCAGCTGCACGTAGTTGTTATCTCGCTGGTTGAAGAAGTACTCCTCCCGGTGTAACCGACGAGAGATCAAGCGCAATCCCGAACCCACAAATTACATCACTTTTTGTGGGTACCAGTACCATCCTGAACAATTCATGGCAATGAATGGTATGGCCGCTTCCTAGGGTGGCCCCTCTTTGTCTGTGGAGGATGTCTTCCCT